ACAAAAAAGGGCTTTTGATTTACTTGTCCTTTGAGGTCTCCTAGCAGAGACATCACCTGATCAGCAGATAGCCAAGTGCTAATTATGTAACTTTGGGTATGTGTATCATCTATCACTAAGTCCTAACTTCCCAACACGCAGAATGCGATAATTACAGCATTTATCTTAGAGTCATTTTGAAGATCAAAATTAGATGGTGTATATAAGGTATGCATAATGGCTAACACACTTAAGCACACAAATATTAGCTATTACTAATACAACTTTATTTCCAAAACGATTTATAGAGTATACCCTCCAATTTTCCTTTTCCTTTTCTATTTCAAGATAAAGATCAGAGTTTCCCCCAAATGAGTTTCTTGCTCCCAATATGAGTTCAAGTTCAGTAGGTACTAAGCAAACCAAAGGGTTCCATAACCAAGCCAGTTTTGATTAAATAACTTTATTTATTTTAAGATTGTACTTTTAAGTAATCTCTACACCCAATGTTGAGCTCAAACTCACAATCAAGAAATGCACTCTACCAACTGAGCCAGCCAGGTGCTCCTAAATAATTTTTAAAGTGCAAAACATCTTAGTGTTGAATCCCAATGCACACTACGACCCCTAACAGTGAGATCCAGTATACGCTACTTCCAAACTGGACCATGAAACTGACTCGTGCCCTGTTGAGAAAATATGATCCTGTGGCACTCTGAGAAATGCTGCTGGAAACAACACTAACTACGCATATAAAACAAACAGTATTCTGGGGCGCCTGGGTGGCTTAGTCGGTTAAGCGTCCGACTTTCGCTTAGGTCATGATCTCGCGGTTCGTGGGTTCGGGCCCCGCGTCGGGCTCTGTGCTGACTGCCAGCTCAGAGCCTGGAGCCTGTTTCAGTCTGTGACTCCCTCTCTGTCTGACCCTCCCCTGCTCAAGCTGTCTCTCTCTCTCTCTCCTAGAAATAAAAAAAAAAAAAAAAAAATTTAAAAAAATAAAAAAAAACAACAACAAAAAAACAAACAGTATTCTTATCAAAAAGATATATGCTCTTCCTATTTCACTTAGTTAAATGCTATCCATCCTTCAGATCTCAGGGAAGCCTTCTTTAAGCCTTCAAACTTAATCAAGACTTCCTGCTTGATACCCTCAGGTTCCCTTAGACTTCTCTTTCATAATCCTTACTGTTATCTGTATTAACATACTTGAAAGATTACTTGACTACTGCTTTCATCTTTCCCACCAAACTATATTACGCTCAACCCTATACTCTAGCATTTAGCACAATGTTCGGTGGCAGATAATAGATGTGAAACACATATGTGAATCTAAGAATTTCACTGCAGCTTTGTCATAGTGAAAACTGAAAATAACTCAACTGTTTTCTAACAGGAAAGTAAGATAGTCCACATTTACATCACAGAGCCGTTAAAAAGACTAAGTTTAATCTTTGTGTTCTGACATGCCCACCTGAACTGAATGAGAAAGAAAAAAATGTTCTTTTATTACATGTGTACCATACTGTGCATAGACGTCTAAAAACATACATAAATTGTTAACAAAAAACATTAACAGTAACTATACTTAAAGAGGAATAGGACTGGGAAAAGGTAATCTCACTTTTATACTATATGCATTTCTCCATTTTCAATATTCTCCAAGATGTATTTTATTTCTAATTAATTTGCTTTGAGCAAGTCTACATAAATCATCATATGCTTTATGCTCAGTTCGTATTTGTATTACTATTTCATAAAGACATTTTTGTAATGATCCCTACAGCAATCTTGAGAGGTAAATAAGAGATAGCATTAACTCCATTTTGCAAATTAAAAGCTAGGTAAACTGCCTAACATCACAAAGCAAAATAACAGAGGTTAAAATGGAGATCGTTTTTCTTAGCCCAACGTTCTTTTCGTTATACATCACTGCCTTTCCAGCGACACAAGGCAGTCTTAATACAATCAACATTTTAGTACAAAGTGACTAGTAGGAGTTAAAACCTATTTTCATCTCAATGATGAGATGGAGAGGGCACTGCAGGCCACTGGCATGGAGGCCTCTTTTAAATAACCCCAGGGAAGGGGAGGTGACAAAATCCTAGTGCATGTTCTTGTGAGACAACTCTCTTATATTAAGCTGAAATCTCTCTCTGTAACGTCGACCTTTTGGTCCAAGTTTGGCGATTTAGAAAGCCACAGAATGATCTTCTCTCCTTCTTGTTCTGGAATATGTTCCAGCATAGGGAGACAGCTATCACCTGGGTCCTTTTGCGAATGAGTGCTTTGCTTAGACAAATCTCCCAATAAAACATCCGTCATTATCCAACTTCTAACTTCAGTCAAGTCTTGACGAACTGGTTGGCAGAAAAGGGAAACTATGATGCAGGACTCTTACAAAGTCATGAGGTACAAAATAAGCAATCGTCACTAGAATCACTTAAGGAGAGTTACAGACAACCATGCACTCTCACCACCCTTTTGCTGGATGGCACGGAATCAAACAGCTTTGTGGTATGAAGCACAGGAAGGAAGACAGGGTCAGATGTTTCTGACCAAATCTTGGCTTTAGATAGCTGCACATAGCTGGATCATGAATTTGCTACGAACACAGACAATTATTACTCCTCCGTTAGACAGATAAACAATCAACCTAATGGTCTTTCATCAGAAAAATATGTCTTCTGTTTTTGTCAGATTCTCCAACAACAAAACACCTGGTCATTCTACCAACAGACAAATGAGACTTCCTCACGATCTAAAAGAGACAAAGAAATTAATGATAAAAGTCATAGGATAAAACTTACTGACTGAATTTGAGATTCATGGAAAGATCTAATGACTTGGTTGTTAGGAAACACCAAGAAAATGAACAAGGAAAAGTAGGAGTCTAGAGAGAAAAGCTAGCACAAGAAGTGTATGTTCAAGAAATCTCACACTAGAGGTATGATAAGCTACAGTGTAGTTAAATACTTATTAAAATTGCTTTTTATAGTCTGATAAAAATAATCAGAATTAAATGCTTGTGCAAAAACTGAGAGCAAAACTACAGGACAAGATGAACCTCTACTTGGAACAGCATAGCTTTTTATCCGGGTTTACCTGTTAATAATAAGGACAAACTTGGGGAAGTCTTCTCAAATGCTGCTCTAGATTTTCTTTCTGAATCTGAACGTAAGTAAGGGAAAGGAGAAGTCCTCTGAGCACCCAACTGTGAGGCCTGCATTGCTCAGTCTGTTGAGAGATGAGCTCTTGATTTCGACACAAGTCATGATCCCAGGGTCATGGGATTGAGCCCCGCATCGGACTCCGAGGAGCATAGAGCCTACTTGGAACTCTCTCTCTCTCTCTCCTCTTTGCCCCTCTCCCCTGTTTGCATGCTCTCTCCCACTTTCTAAAAAAAATTTTTTAAGTTTTTTTTAAAAAAAGAAAGAAAATATCCCTCCTTACTCTTCCTTATCTTTCACTTAATTAGAGTTTATCATAATGATAGATATCATATACATTATTGTGCTTCCTTGTTGTCTGATGACCCAGAAAACTATATGATCCTTGAAGGCAGAGTCAACTCTTTTTAACACTGCAAATACATGAACACCTGGCTTTGTACGTGCAGGTAGTTCATTAAATATCTGCAGGATGAGTGAAGACAGAAAGAGAAAAAGAAAAGGAGATCATAGGTGACCATTAACAGTTTACTTTGCTTTGTTAATAAATGTTGAGACACTTAGTACGATCCAGACCAGTTTCATTTATCACTTAGTTTAGCCTCACAAGAAGCCTAGAAAGTTTCTCATTTGAGACAAAGGCTCAGATAATTAAATACTAAATGATGCAAGCCACACACCTAGTAAATCTGAACTCTCATTTATGTGGAATCAGTTTTATCTAATATGATGGCCGCCCCCAAGATGCACATGACTTCAATGATCTCCTCTCCAGAAAGCTATGGGAGAAGAGGGAGATACCTACAGCAATTAGCTGTGTACATTCCAGTATCTTTAGGCATCTACAAAATGTCTGAATTTTCTTCCAGGTCACAGAAATCCCCCTAAATAAGTAAAAGACTGGGGGACGTGGGTGTCTGTTTTTGGCTTAGGTCATGATCTCATGGTCTGTGAGTTCGACCCCCCAGTCAGGATCTGTGCTGACAACTGGGAGCCTGGAACCTGCTTCAGATTCTGTGTCTCCCGCTCTCTGCCCCACCCCGGCTCATACTCTTGTCTCTGTCTCAAAAATAAATAAACATTAAAAAAATTTTTTTAAGTAAAAGACTTCTAACCAACCAAGTAATCGTTTTTACATTTGCCAAATAGTTTGATCCTCAAAAGAATGTTATAAAAGAGACAGATACTCCAGTTATGTTGGTGAGGACACTTGGGGCTAAGAGCACTTAATCCTTCCCATTCTCTCTACAAACCTATGGGCTTGGAGTTTACACATAGAAATAGTGGTGGGTGACTGGGTGGCTCAGCTGGTTGGCTGGCTGACTTTGGCTCTAGTGTAATCGCAGTTTTTGAGTTCGAGCCCCGCATTTGACTCTGTGCTGACTGACCCCTTGGAGCCTGGAGCCTGCTTCCGATTCTGTGTCTCCCCTCTCTGCTGCTCCCTCACTCGCTCACTCTCTCTCAAAAGCAAACATTAAAAAAAAAAGAAAAGAAAAGAAATAGTGGTTGTATAAACTTGGTGCAAACTTTGAGAGACACTCGTGACATAATCCTCATTTGCCGCTGCAAATATGTGATCGACATGGGAACCCTTCAACAACTCAATTCTGCACTTCCATTTTAGGTTCACTCTGTGCAACTGATTGTTGACCGCCAAATATATTTAGGAGGAGATAACACCTCCAGGTCAAAGAAAGGGCGTGGGAAAATCATTTTAGAAAAGGTTGCATTGCAGCCAAAACTAAGTCTGGGCGGCGGTCCACAACCGTTCTCGCCAACTCCTCGCATTTCCTTTCCCCTCCAGTGAACCATTCCTTTCTAGAGTCGGATTTGGCGCAACAGGCAGGTTCCTACCTTGGTCTGAATACTCTTATCAAACTTGTCATTTTTGAAGCTAAACGTATTCTGGTGTCTCTGAGGCCTGGAACGTGCCACGTTCCCTTTCTGGGAACTCATCGTGGAAACCCCAATCACCTCGCGTTGATACAAGGAAGACGCGGAGAAGACCGACACGCCAGGAACTAGTCAATGGAGACCACGCTTCTGTCCCTGACCCGGAAGGAACTTGTCCAGCCTTTCCGCCCCGCCCCCCGTCAGGCCACGTGACTCATCGAGGAGGTCAAAGGACATCCTCTGGTGCCTCGGAACCCTCAAGGTTCTCCCACGCTAACCAGTCTCGACCCATCCCCCTCCGCGCAACCTCGCTCTCAAATCTGGCGTCTAAACCCCGCTTCCTTCGAAGCGACGACTCCCCCATTGGCCCGAACACGGCAGTCCATCAAGGCGGAGAGGCGGAGCGCCTTTGCTTCTATTGGCTCTTCTTTACCGCAATCCCCGCCTCCTGCCGACCAAGCGCAGCCTCTCCCGGAGCCCCACTCCTCTGTGCGGCTTGTGATTGGCGGAAGTCCGGCGAAGCTGGGCTGCGCCCCTCCCCCGGCCCGCTCGGAGGCTGGAGCCCGGGTCAGCTTGGCGTCTCCCTCCAGTCAGTGACCAACTCCTGCCTCAGCGAGGGTTCTGCTCGCCCCCCTCGATTCCCTCCCAGCCTTCCTCCCGCCACCAGACCTAGCCCCGCAGTGGCAGGCTGAGGAGGAGCGAAGAAAGGAGGATTAAAGAGAAGAAAGACCTGGCTGGGTCTGGGTGGCGTCTGCAGTGCCAGAAGGGGAGGTGGTGGCGGCGGCTGCGACCACGGCCGCGCGGGACGTGAGGCCCGAGAGCAGCCGACGGCGGCGGCCGCTCCAGAGCCTCGCGCCGGGGCCGTTAGTCAGCAGAACGCGAGCCCGTGTGGAGGAGCCGGAGCGGCGCGAGGCGAGACTCGAGGGCGCGAGCCGGCCCCCGCGTGCGCCGCCGGCCCTCCTCGCCCCGGCGCCGGGGGCTGCAGCCTTCGTCCCCCCCTCCTCGGCCGCGCCCGCCCGCAGGCCGGGAGAGTCTGGCGGCGGCGGCGGCGGCAGCGTGGGTCGCACCTTGCGGAGGACAGCGCGGCGGCAGCGGCTCTCTCCCGGCCCTTTCTTCCCGACACCTTGGCCGCGGCCCCTCAGGTGCAGGTGCGTGGGGCGGCGGCGGGCCGCGCGCCGCGGCCGGGCCCGGGGAGGGGGCGCTAGGCCCGGAGCCGCAGCGCGGGAGGGCCGAGCCCGGGCCGGGAGGGGGGAGGGGAGCGGGGAGCGGGAGGCGTCTTTGTTGTTGGCGACCGGGATCTCTCTCGGCGCCGGCGAAAGGCGGGGAGGCCACTTCGGATCGGGTCTGGTTTCGAGAGGCTTCTCCGGCGGTTCCGGGAGCGAGAGAGGTAGGAGCGTGCCTGCGATCGGAGAGGCTGCGGGGGTCTGGGGGCGGGAGAGAGAGAGACGGACAGATGGACGGGGTGGGGGGCGGGGGGAGGTCTTGGGTCCTCCTGGCGGAAAAGGGTCTCGTCTCACTTGTTTTGCTGGTGTCCGGGTGGACGGAAAGAGGGGGTCAGGTTCACACTCTCCTCCCTTCTCCCCGTGAGGTTGGCGACGCCTGAACGCTTTGCCCTGAATGCCCTCGTGTGTGCCAGCCTCGATCTGAGATCGAACCGGCCGCGTTCGCGAAGATCGGCGTGTTCCCGGCGGGCGGTCGTGGGGGTTCTTTCCCCCCAGGTGGCTCCGCTTCAGCTGCTTCGAACGGTCTTCGCTCGTTAGCAGCCGCTCAGAGTTGAGAAAAAGGAGAGGTTTTGTTTGGATTTTTTTTTTTTTAAACCCTGCAACAAAAGTTCTGCCGAGTTAAGAGTGTAGGATTGTAAAGGCTTTATTTATTTATTTATTTATTTATTTTTTAAGAAGAGTCCGTTTAACCCTGACTTCTTGTTTAAAAAAGAAAAAGTTCATAGCTTTGATGCTTGGAGATTTCTGCCAATGCCAGAACACGATTTCTTTTTTTTTTTAACGGTGCTTTGATTTAAGTCTGCGTGAGGTGGGTTTGATAAGCAAAGGAGGAGGAATAACGGAACACAGGGTGACCTTTAAATTTTGGCCGTTTAATGAAAAGGTATTTTTCTATTGGAATATATTTCGTAGTGTATATGTATATAGTACTTGATGCGCAAGATGATGCATTGATTTTTTTTTTTTAAGGCTCCAGTAAATAAAAAGAATTTTGGAGATCTTGTGTCAGCATTTGGAGCTGCCTAATGTGTCTGAGTAAAAAATCAGGTACATATTGTAATAGTGTGTATCTCTATACGTTATCAGGAAAACTTAACAAAAAATGAACTTTCCTCCATAATTTGACTCTTAATATGTTGATAGCATAAATCCATTTGTGTGACATATCTAGCATCTAATTGTAATCAGCATTTTAGTAATCATAATTATGCCTAAGTCTTTGCTTGTTGTTTAATTTTTATTGTGAGAGTAGATGCGGTGGTTTAAACAGTGGAGAAAGCCATGTTTCTACTTATAAAAGAAAGAAAATCCCTGTTGTAAAAATAGTTGTTGTATTATTTGAGGTCCATGAGGAAGTGAAAAGCACCCTCACCCATAATTTGACCTCTTTTTTCTCCTACTCTAGTATTAATAAGGTTAATTGGGAAGGAGAGGATTAGATTTTTAGCAGGCTAGGCAGTTTTAATTTTGTCCCTTGCTGTACAGGAGGACTGTATTGGTAAGTGGCTTCTTTCCTTGATTGTCTTGGCCTATTTTGATACATGTATGCAATGATAATCTGACAAAAAAATTTTCTGTTTCCCGTGACAGACAAAATTATCATAAAACTTCACGGCAAAATAATGTTTTTGGTAACTTAATGAACACAGAAGTACTAGGTAATTCGTGACTGTTCCACAATTGGTTTACAACTACAAGCAAGCGATCCCACATCTGAGTCCGTTTCTCCATCTGTAAAATAGGGCTAATAAATATGCCACCTGCTCATGCTGTAGAATGGGCATTGAGAACCAAGTTACTTTGGTTATATGACATTGCTTTAGGTGAATAAGAGTACTTTTTAAGGCAGTTCTCTTACTTTGGTATTAATGAATTTCAACTCCTTGGTGAAGAATTAGCCTAAAGAAATATAGTTCTAATAGGGACACTGTCTATCCATGTGCCGTCATCTAAGAATTGATAACTCAAAATTTCTTCCATGTTAAGATTGGTGTTAATATTCTTAAAATCAGTGATGACAAGAACATAGTGACAAATTGGCTTTGTTGGTTTATTTACTGGTAGATTTTATTTCAGATATATCCAAGGTTTTATTCTTAATTCTCAAAAATTACTCCCACCTTTCCTACCTCATTAAAAAATTCTCATATACAGTGCTCTATATTTATACCTCTCAAACTCAGCCTTGTGAGTTGGGGAGGAACAGTGATGTTTTGTGACATTTTTACAGATGAAGCCAAGAGAAGTTACTACTTTGAATTGCCTAAAGCTGCATAATTTTTAAAGAAGCAAAACTGAGACTTGAACCTGGGTTTTCTGACATCTAGCCCTGACTCCTTTGCTTTGGAGTAGTGTTTTCCAAAGAGCTGTCTGGACCTAACAGTTTTTGCCAATTCAGATGAAACAAAAAAATAACACAGCAGTTTAAGTATTGGCAACATATGATGTCATGAATACTCAAGCACTCAGTTTAAGAAATAAATACAAAATATAATGAAGCTTCCTTTGTACTCTATACACCCCTCTTAAATCTTACTTCCTGTTTCCCCCACTCCCAGCCACTAACCGGAAATTAAAATACATCCTTCCTATCCATGTGTTCATACTTCACTACATGCCTTTATATCCATGAACATATATGATTTTTGTTTGATTAAGGCTATTTAAATATGTTTGTATCTGTAGCTTGCTTTCTAAACCCAATTTGCCAAGATTTGTCTACGTTATTCAGGTTACTCTAGTTTATTTTTACTGCAATAATGGTATGTGTTCCATTATGTGGCTTTCACATTCCTTTGGTCATTTTAGTTTTTTCCAATTGCTTATTAAACACTGGTGTAGAGAATATTCTTATATATGTTTACTTGGGTACACGTGCAAGACTTCCTCTAGGGCAGTGGTTCTTGAGCCTATATCCCATTTTTAAAAAACGTTTTATAGCTTGGGGCCCCTGGGTGGCTCAGTCAGTCATGATCTCAAGGTTCCTGAGGTGGGACCCACTTCAGACTCTCTGTTAGCACAGAGCCTGCTTCAGATCATCTATCCCCCTTCTGTTCTGCCCCTTCCTCACTCGTGCCCTCTCCCCCCTGCAAAAATAATAAAAAAACATTTTTTTTTTTTTTTATTTCTAGGAGAGAGAGAGAGAGAGACAGCGTGAGCAGGGGAGGGTCAGAGAGAGAGGGAGACACAGACTCTGAAACAGGCTCCAGGCTCTGAGCTGGCAGTCAGCACAGAGCCCGAAGCGGGGCTCGAACCCACAAACCGCGAGATCATGACCTAAGCGAAAGTCGGACGCTTAACCGACTAAGCCACCCAGGCACCCCTAAAAAAACATTTTTAAGAACGCTGATCTTTAAAAAAAGAAAAGAAATATTTTATGGCTTTCCCAGTACTGCCCTAAAATGAAATTCAGAATAATCAATACATTCATTTAAAACTTAAATGTACGGGAACTCCTGAATGGCTCAGTTGGTTGAACATCCAACGTCAGCTCAGTTCTTGAGCTCAAGCCCCGCATTGGGCTCTGTGCTGACAGCTCAGAGCCTGGAGCATGCTTTGGATTCTGTGACTTCCTCTCTTTGCCTTCTTCCCCACTTGCATTGTCTCTCACTCTCTCAAAAGTAAATAAACATGACAAAAAATTTTTTTAATAAAATTTAAATGAAATTACAAACTTCTTAGTAACATTAAAACAGTAAATTTACAGTATGTTTTTAAGTAACGCTCTTACTAAAATATGAGAATTTATAACAAAGTAATGTGTTTCCCTGTATAAATGCTCAGACCAACCCACACTCTAGTCTTGCCACTGAGTGTGATAGTAGACTAGTAAATCAGAAGTCTGGGAGCTTGTTAGAAATCAGAACTTCAAGCCCTACCCTACTGAGTCATGCTGAATGTTACCAAGATTCCCAGATGATTTGTGTGCACATTAAAGTCCAAGAAGCAGTGGTACCCAGATACTTTGCATCCGTGTTAGTATCACCACGAAGAGAGTAGCTTACTCTACTCAAGCTACTCTCTTCATGCAAATTAAAACAGGTGTGTTGAATTGGTTGTTCAAATGCCAGTGGTGGGCATTATTGGTAAAATGAGTTTCTGAAATGATGAACTATTTTCAGTAAAGTTTGGACAAAAATAAAAGTGCAGTCTTCTCTATACAGTGGTTGCATTCTTTAAAATCTTCATCTGGGGACGCCTGGGTAACTCAGTCGGTTGAGTGTCCGACTTTGGCTCAGGTCATGATCTCATGGTACGTGGGTTTGAGCCCCTCATAGGGCTCTGTGCTGACAGCTAGCTCAGAGCCTGGAGCCTGTCTTCAGATTCTGTGTCTCCCTGTCTCTCTGACCCTCTCCTGCTCACGTTGTCTCCCCCCACCAAAACTAAATAAAACATTTAAAAAATTTTTTAATAAAAAAAAACTTTATCTGTATTAAAGCAATACAGATATACTATTTGTTAAGTCTTGTTTATAAATATCTGACCTTATTTCCCCCACCCCCTCTTCGTTCCCTCAAATGAGTGATGATCAGAATATTCAGAAGTCACAAGGCATGGGGCAGCATTATTAGCTGTATGCACCAAGGGTGCCTGGTGTCCCGGCAGCTGTTCAGTAGCGCCCCCATTTGTTAAACAACTGAAAACCCGCCATTGAGAAAGATTGCCCTGAGCTGTAAATCTAATGGTAGAGTGCTAGAACAAAAGGTATGAGTAGCTTCAACTTTATTGGATAACTACCAGTTTTCTCTCAAGTATTACTATCAGTAATGGATGAGAGGGTCTATATTCCCACCTTCCAAATACTTTATTAGCCTCCTTATGGTTTGCCATTCTGAGGAGCATATGAAGAGGTACCTCATTGCAGTTTTCATTTGCATATCCTCAGTTAGTCCTGTAGTTGAGAACACTATTTTTTGGCCATTTTTTCCCCCATTCAGTTCCTTTTCTGTGAATGGCTTCTTCAGTTTTTTATGGGATTGTTTATCTTATTAATTTGTAAGTGCTTTATGTGTGTCCTGGATAACAATGCTTGGTGGCTCTTACAAGTATCTTCTAGTCTTTATCATGTCTTTTAACTTGAAATATCGTGTCTTTCTATGACTGACTGTTCTTTTTTTTTTTTTAAGTTTTACTATTTATTTGGTGGGGGGACAGAGAGAGGGGAAGAGAGAAAATCCCCAGCAGGCTCTGACTATCAGTGCAAAGCCTGATGCGGGGCTGGAACCCACGAAAGCTGTGAGATCATGACCTGAGCTATAACCAAGAATTGGACACTTAACCGACTGAGTCACCCAGGCACCCGTATGACTAAATATTCTTAATTCTATTGAAATACATTCTTTTTAAAAAAGATTTATTTATTTAAGTAATATCTACACCTGACATAGGGCTGGAACTCAATGACCCCAAGATCAAGAGTCGCATAGTCTACCAATTGAGCCAGCCAGGAGCCCTTAGTCAAATATATTCTCTTACGATTGTGCTTTTTCTCTTTAAAGGGATTATTTTCTATCCTGCGGTTATAAATATTCTGATGAAGCTTTTTAAAGTTTTACTTCTCCATATTTAGAACTTAAATTCACATGAGACTATTTTTATATAATGAGCTGTTTGTGAACCTGAATTTACTCCAATAAAATCACTACTCTTCCTAGTGAAATTAATGTCATTGTTTATGCTTATATGATCTGATGAAATGAGTGATAGTAGATTGTATTTAGTTTTTAATAACTTTTGTTGCAAAATTAAAATTTGGCAATTTTATCATTCTAACTTTTTAAAAATTGAGGGGTGGCCTTGTCAGGTGACGTCAGACTTTGCCTCGGGTCATGATCTCACAGTTCATGGATTTAGGCCTTGCGTAGGGCTTTGTGCTGACAGCTCAGAGCCTAGAGTCAGCTTCAGACTGTGTCTCTGTGTCTCCCTCTCTCTCAAGAATGAATAAACATTAAAAAAATTTTTTTTTAAATAAAAATTCAACTGGTTTTTGAAATGTATACGTTTTGGGACCCACTGCTTTAGAGTATTCTAATTCACATGTTCCATTC